CTGCAATAAGATCATTTAGACCCTGCTTCCGGGCAGAGGTTAGACAGCTACACCTAAACATCTGGAAAGGTTCATCAGCCACCCTAGGCAGTCTATTCCACAGCTTGTGCCTCTACAGTTAAGAATTTTTTTCCTAATGGATAACCCCAGGCTCCCTTGTTGCAGTTTAAGTCCAGTGTTTTTTGTTCTATCCCCAGTGGTCTCACACACACACACACACACACACAAAATGTTCTTAAACTTTCTTATTTTCAGCAACAAATTTACAGATTTGAAAACTTGCATCATCTTTCTTTAGTCCTCTCTATACTAAAAACAATTCATTCCTTCAATCACACTTTCTTGACTTTCAACTATTTCTGTGCGGTTCTGCTGCTGTCCTCCAAACAGTATGACAGTGTTGATTCCCATTCAGTCTGTGATCCACTAGGACTCTCAGATCCCAGCCAGTCGCTCCCAATGTTTGTATTAATGCAGCTGCTTATTTCTAAGCAGAAAATTTTGCTCTTGTCCTTATTAAATTGCATCCTATTTATTGTAAACAAATTCTCTATTTTGCCATCCAACTGACTGATCTATCATTTAACCCAGGGGTGGGCAAAATGTGGCCCGGGGGCTGGATAAGTCCTGCCAGGCCATTCTATCCGGCCTGTGGGGCCCCTAAAAAATTTAGATAATTAATTAATCTGCCCTGGGCTGCCTGTCATGACGACTTGTCGAAACTCACTAAGTCGTCCTCTGCCCAAAATACTAGCCCACCCCTGATTTAACCTCTCCTAGACTGGATACCTATTGAGGGCAAGCTGGTTTTCCAACACAAAACGGTGGTAGGCTCAACGAAAGTTAGCATTTGACAACATAGCATCCTCTGTACAATAAGACCCCACCACCCTTGAAGTTTATGTAGAGGCCCATGGTTTACAGCAAGGATATTTTCAAGCAGTTGCTTCTTGTTAGTCACCTTTTCCCTTCAGAACCCATTCAAGCATTTGCCTTCCAGGGGACCATTGTCCTAGCCAGCATCATTATTCACACAGACTCAATGGAGACTTGTGGCATGTCTCGTATTTGCCAGAAGACCAGGAAATTACAGTCAAGATAATTGTACTTAAACACATGCATCTCGGTTCCTGCCAACGTCTGGAGACTTGGGCAGCATTTCAGGATTAAGCTACCCTAACCTGCATGACTGGCTGAACTTAGCTACAAATACGGGTGTAACTTGTCTCTAACCACATCTATACTGGGCAGATCCAGATATATTGTCCTGGTTCAGTGACCAGAAAAACTAACAGAAGGAACCAACCAATATCACTACCATATCAGAAATCCCAAGATACAAAGCTACTGCTAGGATCCACGATCCTGCACTTGTACCTGTCCTCCGATTACTCCCTGCAGGATCAAGAAGTTGGACATGCTCCGACTGGAAATGACGTTAGGCATTTACAGATGGGAACAAGTAGTTACTTGGAGATGTAGATATAGTTCCACCACTCAGACCAGTGCTCAGAGATCTACTGTTGACAAAGGGTGAGGTGAAAGGAGTCTGTCTCCCCTTTTCACTTGCATGATGTGGGCAAACCAACAACCTCTGCTTGCTTTTACATTATAAACTTTTTCCTGGATGACTGAGGACTTAGAAAAATATGACACCAAACACCTACCAAGTGAACCCCAAATTTAGAAGTGGGGAATGATTTTTACTCTCACTACTAACTTTTAGTCATGGTAACACCTACTCAACTTGAAATACCTGATAAGTTACTGGACAACACATTGCTAGTAAAGATTTGATACCTCTGGTGTCTTGTTTAGTAACTGAAGACCACATCCACAACCTTATGAAGTCAACACAAACTCTTCCACCGAATTTTGGCAGGCTGAGGAGCAGGCACAAGTGAACTCTCACCCCACTTCTCTGGGTCCTCCAAGGTAGATGCTCAACAAAACTGTATGAGAGGCTTGAGGTTCCCAAAATGTACATACAAGATGAATTTTTGAAAACAGAAAAAAAATCCTTGTATTCCAAACTTTAATTACCTTTTAAAGAAAGGGAACCCTCCATTTCCTACCACTTGCTAGTCTCCATTAAATATAGACAGGGTAAATCATCATCATATTTAATTTAAAATGGCAGAAAAAAGATCCAACTCAGATCAGGCCCCACCATGCTGACCACACTAGAAAACACATAAGGGACAACTGTTGCCTCCAAAAAGCTCTTTTAGGAGAATGAGACACACGAGATGGGAGAGGAAACATACAGAGAGCGGAGGTAACTTGTCCAAAGTGAAAGAGGAGAATGCTGGTATGACCACTAGTTCAGTCCTGTCCATTAGAGCTTGCTGTCACCCCAACATTACTTGCTCTGTACCTTGGTAATGGAGAACTTGTTTTTGCACCGATGACTGCCTGATTTTATACTTTTTACTTGACTACAGAGAAAAACAAAAATTGAAGCCAAGGTTAGCAATGATGCTGATATTAGGTTTAGAACAAACCTAATATCAGCCAAAAAAGCAACCAAAAAAGCCAGTCTTTGATCCTATTGCTTGTGGTGTCGCAAACAGCAGTCAGTAAAAAGAGACAACTAAGGTCTTCACTATAACCACCAATGGAGGCAGTACCAGAGAACAAGCCAACTTCAGTTTAGTCGAGCAAATTTAGCAAGCAGATCTGAGTGCACCCACACTCAAAAGCTCTTCAGTGGCAGCAGAAACCTCCACTCTACCAACAGAGTTATTCCTCCTTTCCCAAGCAGAGTAGGGCTTCTGCATGTACCAGCAGCTTCATGGAGCAGCTTCTCAGTGCTGCAAGAAGTTCTGGCCACCAGATGAGGTAAGCATGGGCATACAGACCTAAGCTATACCAGGTCCCACAAGCAAGAGGCATCTTTCTGCAAAGTTGAACAGTGTCCACCCCAGGGGTTTTCCAGCATACCTACATCAGCTACAAGGATGTGCTCTTTCCATATCCTCAAATGACGCACCTTTATTTTGCAAATATAGATGGGGATTAGAATTTATACTCTGGACACAGTATTTGCCCTTGTGTTCTCAAAAGATTATAATACAGCAATGTTAAGTTTCTATAATCTGAAGGAAGTAGATTAATAGTGAAGAGCTATTGGTGCAAAATTAGGAGACCATCCCTTTGCTTGCATCTGGAAGGCACCAGATACCTCTGACTTCCTCTGCAGAAGAAAGAGGGCCAAGCTTCAAAGTGGGCTGATTTTCCAGGCAGAAACAGGGAAACCTTCCCTCTACCTTTCTTTCAATTAGTGTCAAACAACTTCCACATACCTCCCCCGCCATCATGTTAACAAATCATTTGCTGAAGAGATCTCAATGATTTACTCTGTTTTTAACATATGGGAAATTCTGAGATAAGGTAAAAGTAGGGGTAACACCAATAAAGATTTTCTTGGCTGATACTGATGACTGATTATTAACCAGACGTATCAGCCAAGACTGATCTGATAGCCAATTTACAGGAACGCAGCCCAGCAGCTCGGAGAGCAGCCTCCTGCCCACAAGTCTGTGGTAGGGAATGGGTGGGGAGAGGGCTGGAGTGGGGCAAGGGCAGTGGTAGATGCTGTCAAGCCAGGGCAGTGAATGCGACCCCACAGGTGGTTTACCCAGGGGACACTGGGGGCTTGGGAGAGGGGAATGGGTCCCTACTGCTGCATGCACCCCCAGGGAAGACATATGGCCCCCCAGATTTGTGCATGGGGCGAGGGAGAGCTTGTCCACTACAGGCAGGGGTGGGGGTGCTATGGGGTGAGCTATAGCCACCCCAAAATTCCCTGTAGCCACCCTGTATCCCCCCTCCCAGCGCCACTGCCACCCACCCCACCCCTTCCTGCTCGAAACTCAGCCCTGGCCCAGCCCCCTTGCCAGGAAGAGGCTGGTGCAGCCCCTGGCCCTAAGCCCACAGCAGGCAGCCCACCCTCATCCCATGCACAAGTCTGTGGGGGGCACATGTCCCCCATGCCTCCCTCAGGGGTGCATGCAGCACTGGGAAGCCTCCCCCCATCCCAGCCCCCCAATGAGCTGCCTGAGGCTCCATCCCGCTCCCAGGGTTGCATTCACCACCGTGGCTGGGCAGCGCCTGCCTCTGCCCTGCTCCCTCCCTCACTGTGAGGGCCTCAATCTGCCCTCCCCATGCCCCTTCACT